TGATTTCAAAAATATAATATTTGTGTGTTGCACGTATTATGGTGTTAGGAACAAGTCTCGTGACAGCAGCAGATGACCATAATTCACTACGACAGGATTCAAATCTGTGAATAAGATCTTTTAAATAAGCGGGAGCAGATCCATAGAAACAACTGTGCACTTTATTATTATCATCATCATCATCGTCGTCGTCATCGTCATTATTATTATTATTATTATTATTATTATTATTATTATTATTATTATTATTATTATTATTATTATTATTATTATTATTGTTGTTGTTGTTGATGTTCTTTGTATTATTATTAATTATATTATTATTATTGTTATTGTTATTATTATTATTATTATCATTATTATTATTATCATTATTGTTGTTATTGATGTTGTTGTTATAAAAGATGTAAGAATGCAACAATAATGAACATTATTGTTACTATTCAAACCAATTACGCACGCCCACCCATACTGTAGCATTGGAATGGATTTATTATTATCATCATCATCATCATCATCGTCGTCATCGTCGTCGTCATCGTCATTATTATTATTATTATTATTATTATTATTATTATTATTATTATTATTATTACTATTATTATTATTGTTGTTGTTGATGTTGTTTGTATTATTATTAATTATATTATTATTTTTATTGTTATTATTATTATTATCATTATTATTATTATCATTATTGTTGTTATTGATGTTGTTGTTATAAAAGATGTAAGAATGCAACAATAATTAACATTATTAACAATAATAACAATAATTAACATTATTGTTACTATTCAAACCAATTACGCATGCCCACCCACACTGTAGCATTGGATTGGATTTATTCGGTGATAGCCCATGAAAATCTAAAGGAAGACTTATTTAGAGTGGGGTCCTTCTGGTGGTGTTTGGACAGTACATCGGAAGGCAATCCCCTACTCTTTTTGAAAATTGTAAATTAAAAAGTTCACTAACAGAGTATATCAGATACAAAGACAGACGTATATTTGAACCCTATCTACTAGACAAAATAAATTTCAAAGGAATAACAATAAAATTCAAAACACGAACTAATTATCTAAACCTAGAGGGTAAAAAGCAGACATGGTCTGCACAAAACAACGGTTTTTGTAAATTATTGTTTAAAAGAAACAACCGACCATTTTTTATTTATTTGTGATAAAATCCAGCCATTTAGAGAAAAGGTTTATAATGATTTAAAAAATGATCTTGTTAAATGGGGATTATGTGAATTTAGGGGATCCTTTATAACCGGATTGTTAGATTATAAACATAATTTATTTCTCGATAATCTTTATGACCAATTTGGTAACCATAAATTAGCAGAAATATTTGATAATTATTGTAAGGTATTTATCGAAGGCGCATGGAAATTAAGATCTGAAAAATATAAATCCCTGACCACATTACCACCCGTTACACTTTAATTAGTTTTTGTATTTCTTTTTTAATCTGTTAATATGAACCTTTATGATCAGTTCGAAGCTCTATATTTTGCTATAAATACCTTGTAAAATGTAAAGTGGAAATTTTATTACTGTAGTTTTATTATTATTATTATTAATTATTGTTTTTATTCCCTTTAAGTGTGTTACTGTAGTAAATATGAACCCATATTTGGTCTATTAGTTCTAGCTCTATATTAACTTACAATTCATACTGCAACTCTGCAATAATACGGTACTGTAAGACTACCGTACCACAGATAGGCCTACATGCCATGTTGATAAATTTTATTTTGCATATACATTTTAGTTTAATTTAAACTTAGTTTATGTTTATTTTTTTTTTCTTATATTTGGATGCACCGTTGAGAATTGTTCAACGTGTGCCACTGTTACGAAAGTGATATTTTTTAAATTGAATTGAATACTCTTTTCCGAAGAGTGTACGGTAACTGCGTTCTTTAACGTGCACATGGGCCATAAATCGTCGCACTATACATAAATGCACACGGGACCACCGGCTTAAACGTCTCATCCGAAAGACGGTGCGCCATTGTAACTTGTATTTCAGCCCTCCAGCTGAAACACAAGGAGCTGTCTCTTATACACATCTAGATGTGTATAAGAGACAGTGATTAGCCGACTGAGCTAAGCTGCTATGTAGGCCTAACTATACCTCAACAACAATAAAATCTGTTCATCTCCACTTATAATTATATTTATTGATAATAGCCAACATAGTCAGCTTAGATGAATTCGATTTTTTTTTATCGTGGCACTATTGTGAGTTTGTATGGAGGTGAATTGTGAACTCCGGCGTAAATCACGCCATCAGCGACGTCAGGAAGCGTTTCGCCATCCGCTGCTTCAAATCCGTAACGTTGGTATATGACGGTAATAAAAAGAAACATCACCTTCTTAGCAAATCCTTCACCTGGACATCGCCTTTTTCCTGAAATAAAACAAAACCAGTTAAAGCCAGCTAAAATATAAAATATTAGAATTTATTTAGACACAACACTTTGCGTAATAGGGACACATTCACACTGCATGCGATTGTGGTCGTAAGTGTGGTGATGATGGAGACGATAATGGTGAAAAAGATGAGAACGATGATGGTATTGATGATGATTATAATTATTAGGCCCCTATTCTAATATTGTGATATTTCACCGTTTCCATCCACACTTGAATATTCATCATTGACAATATAACATACCAAGATGGAAATGGAAAGTACGAGTCTTTGTTGATGTCCAGCTGCCCATCACTGTCCAAGAATCGGTCTGCGTTAAACCTTTCAGGATCCTCCTAGTAGCGCTCATCTGGTGATGATGGAGACGATGATGTTGAAAAAGATGAGAACGATGATGGTATTGATGATGAATATAATTATTAGGCCCCTATTCTAATATTGTGATATTTCACCGTTTCCATCCACACTTGAATATTCATCATTGCCAATATAACATACCAAGACCAAATGGAAAGTACGAGTCTTTGTTGATGTCCAGCTGCCCATCACTGTCCAAGAATCGGTCTGCGTTAAACCTTTCAGGATCCTCCTAGTTGCGCTCATCATGATGCAGCCCCCAAATATTGCCAAAAATGACCGTACTCTTTCTGATAACCTTCAAAATTGACATCCTTCTGCGTCGCGTGCGGAACGAGCTGCGCCGCTGGGCACGCCATGCGCAGTGTTTCGTAAATGGTGGCATCGTCGGTTCCCTGTCTCCAAGCACTGAATTCACTTCTTCCTGAATCTAATATAATGGATAAGAATGAGTCTATTATTAGTCATGAAGACTTATAAAATCATACTGAGAAAGAGAGTTATATTTGTAGGTCTATTGACGTTCTCTTTGTGTATTGTAAATATTACTTTATTCCAAAAATTGAAAAGATACAATTGTCGATTCTAAAGAATACCGTATTTCTTTTGCCTCATTTCCAAATAATTTTATATAATATAATTATATAATTATTATTATAGTTTTTCCACTTGTTTGCACGGATGCCGTGTGGTACTATAATTATAATTATTGATTGACTAAGGCAAGAAATGCTAATTTTTATCGGAGGACAGTATGCAGTTAGGCAACGGTGAATCCAAGAGTTTGAAAAAAACCGGGCCCCAAGGAAAGAAGTTTTGTAGAGGTCAAATCTATTCAGTCCCAATTAGGTGATGGATATACCAAAGATTTTTTTAATTTAAGCTCTGGCAAGTTTGTCAGGGAAAGACACCCAGTGGTGGATCTCAAATGAATAAGGGGAATCGAATTATCAGATAAGGGGATAGGGCTACTAGTAGTGGCGTAACGAAAAGCAGGAAACCCCAATTGGAAAGTAGTGGTTAAATGTGTGGGAGGAAGGCTCATTGGATCCACCCCCGACACTGTCAAACACTTGAAACTCTTTAATATATTGAACGTAATCATTTTCTCGGGGGTGGCTCGAACCAACTTTAATTCTTGCCTATAAGGATCAGCTACAAGTATAAATGAAGGTTTATCAACTACTGGAATCGTATAAGTAGGCCTTATTTTATGATTAGGCCCATTATTGGGATTTGATTCTAAAAACAAACTTCTTTGCCTAGAATGTTATATGAAAAGACGTACCTTAAGTTGGACATGGGGGTGCTTGGTGATGAGAAGAAGTAGCCACTGCAGCGCATCTTTAAGTGTCATCGATGCTAGCATCAAGTTTATTATGTGAGGAATACAATCTTCAGCTGGGAAATCGCTCCCGCCCACCTTCTTTAAGTAACCGTCTATAAGATCATCAAGTGTGCTGTCGTCTTCTACGTGCTCGCGCGCTTGTAACTGTTTATTTATAAGGCAACGTAGATTTTTCTGTTTTTTTCTGAAACCACTGTAGAGGCATGTTGACAACAAGAACAGAAATAGGTTTCCAGGCTCTCCCATCAGATTCTTTTGTACCTTTCGAGTTGCATTCGTGAATTTAACCAATTCTCTAAAACTTGGATCGTCGTATGAACAACGT